TATATATATATATATATAAATTTCGACTGCTTTATATATTCAAGTAACGTTGTCTCAAATTGTGACATTTATTTCACCTGTATTGTAATACATAACAATGAGGTCAGCTATCTCAGCAAATATATAGATCTCGCTCCCTTCCTTTTTCTTTATTGCTACGCTATTAAGGGCACCTCTACACAGCGTAATAAATCATTTTTATGATTTTTTTGCTTTGTACATTATTCGAAATGAGATGATTGCTTTTTTGGTCAAGGTATAGGTACCCTTAATAAAGATAAAAGGGACATTTTTCTCTTGTATAAAAAATTATAACCTTGTGTTTAATTCTGGAATTGTTATGTAAATATATATTTTCTTATTTTTTCTAAATAAATAATTAAAAAATGGTTTTAACGTTTTTGTAAGTATTAATATAATATAAAGAAAAGACATTCTCCTATAGAAGATTTGTGAATTTAAATTATTATTATTAGTTATCAAAAGATAATAAACACTTACATTATTATGATATCAAAGTAATAGATAATTATAGATTAATTTACATCTTTAAACTTTAAACATAGATTAAATTTATCTATCTATAAAAAAATTAAGTAAAAGAAATAGTTTCTAACTTGAAAAAAGAGCCAAGTGCCCATTTCTGCTGATTCTTTCAGCATAGCTTGTGCCTTGAATTTTTGACTTTGACCAAGAGATATAGAATACAATTTTCTATCCATTTTTAATTTTTCGGCGAACTTATATAACTCTGCGGCCGGATCAGTACCAGGCGATAAAATAAAGACAATTGGCGTGGTGTTGGATGATTCCTCGTAAATTGTTAACAATTCTGTAGTTTGAGGTTCAACAAATTGTTGTCCCAGATATTTTATCAAATAAATTTGTATAGCATTGATAATCTTGTCGGGCCGTAAGCATTTGAGTACCAGTAACTTCTCAAAATCGTCGAGTTTTGTCTCCCATGGTTGAGGAAATGGTACTCTAAATTGAATAAAATTCTATTATTAGCGCGCGCAAGATTTTTAATTGTTATAAAAATGGAAAAGAAGAGATAGAGAGAGAGAGAAAGAGAGAGAGAGAGAGAGAGAGAGAGAGAGAGAGAGAGAGATCTTAAAACTATTTAATATTTAATAAAATATAAATTATTTTCTAAAAATTTATATTAAAAAATATTTTTGTGATTAAAAATGAGACTTATTAATTAGTACGATACAGCAAAATATTTTGTTACCAGAATAAATTATTTTACATTAACTTAATTTAATCTGGTTCCTCTCTTCTATTGAAATTTACGTAACTGCAATTTGCTGATTAATTTAATATTATGGTTATAATTATTTTAGTGGATATAAGCTTTAACATAAAGCTTTAACATTAATCTACTTACAAATGTGCTTCCTGAGTATCGAATATGTTTTTAAATTGAGGTAACGACAGTTGGAAAGATGTGATAAATTTGTCGAACTTTGGAAGTTGTTCTAAAGCTTGAATTTCTTGCCAACATTGTGCGGTAATCCATTCTGATGCAGGATTTGGTAACTTCTATAAAGAGGAGAAGCTTGGATATATCGATATTATATATATTAACAGATCGATATTATATATAGTAACAGAAATAATATATGTTTTTATATATCCTTTTATATATGTTTCTTAAACACATGAATTATATTAAAATGTATTATGGAACTTGCACAAAAGTGATCAAAAATTTAATTTCTAATTTTTTTCTATTCAGCAAACTTCGTATTCACAGCAAATTTTTTTATTTATAGAAGGAAACGATCAAAATACATATTATACTTTTAAAGCCTCTTAATTTAAATAGACTTAAAATAAATGTATACTATTTTACATATATCTTATATTTAATTAAACGTTTAAGTATTACTAAATACATTTTGCAAATAGAATATTAATTTTAAAGATTATTTATAAGTTTTTTTTTGTATAAATAATTGCAGTATATTCATTTATTAATGTATTATTTATTAATATATTAT